AGCAGGTGCAAAATTAATCTACATCTGTCTTAAGGAAGTGGGAGGAATTTCCAGGTATTCAGGTAGAATTCCTAAACGTTTGCTGGTGATTTCCTGCTCTAACTTGTTGGTGTCTAACATAACTATTCCTGAGGCATTGTGCAAGCAGATGATGCGTAGATGCAGCTGGAAGTAGCTGTTCATGGGCTCTTGGCCCCAAAGGAAGCCTGGCTCCTTGGGTGGCCCAGCACACCAGCGTTACTACCTACTCTTCTAGATTATCTCCACAGAACCTTGAAGGATAAACGATTTTAAGGAATGTGGAAAAGACTTGAACTTTCTTTTAATTTATTTATGGTGACAGAAACTACTTTTATAGGCCAAATTTTGGAAGTATTGATATAACCTACTTTGCCATATGGTATGAGCAAATGGAAAGAGCATTGAATTTGAAGTTAAACCAACCTGAGATTGATTCTGGTTGTGTTGCTTACTTGTCATACGTCCTTGCCTCAGGGAACATTGAGTTTAGTGGGAAAATAGACATGGGAAATTTTTCCCGGGAAAAAAAAAAAACTGCTTTAGCAAGAAACTTGCAGGTGGGTGTATGTGCAAAGGGCTATCAAAATGTCCAGTAGAGGCAGAAACGCCTTTCCAGAAGAGTTAGCGTGTGAGCTGAGACTTGAATTGATGAAGTTAGGTGGGAATGGAGAGGAGGAGGAGGTGAGTGAACTGGGACAGGGCATGAGCAAGGGCATAGAGGCATGTATGTTCATGGCATTCAAAGCGGTCAGAACAAAAAAACCTGGGGAGGATGAAAAAGGGGCTGAAGATAAGAACATATAAATATCCTTCAGATTATGAAGAATTTTGAGTGATGGCAGACTTTATCCTGTAGGCTGTGGGGAGCCATTTAAATTCAAACCTGAAAGTGATATTTATGTTAGTGTTAGGTGGGTTATATTAGAGGGATTAGTTGGCAGTAGGATAGAGAATAGTCTAAAGGGTTCTTAACCTTTTAGAGCCTCAGTAATTTTTTCTGCTTAATGAGCTAATATTAACACCTGTGCAACTACTTTCAGGGTTTTATGAAAATTAAAGAAATAATGTATATAAAAGCACTTGAAAACTTTATAGCCCCCAAAAGATTATTGTTGTTACTAGTTTTTCTGAAAGTTAACTTAATTTGAGTGAGATGTTTTAAGGGAAGCCAAAATAAGAGAATTTCTCTCCTTCACTTTAAAAATTTGACAATCATTTTGATTTCTTGATTTAATTAGAAAATGTTGGTAGTTGATTTCAGGACAGTCACATGTTAAGAATTGCTTCCATGGCTGTTGAGATAAGTAGGCCTAGATTAAATATTTTTAGAATAGCTTCTTTGGAGTCCTAAGACCCATGGTTCATTCTAGATAGGTTCAGGTGTGTTATCTATGTACAAGAAAAAGATTGACACACCCACTAGGATAACTAAAATAAAAAAGACAGACAAGAATGTTGGTAAGGATGTAGAGAAATTGGAACCTTCATTTGTTGCTGGTAGGAGTGTAACATGGTGCAGCCACTTTAGAAGACAGCTTGATAGTTCCTTGAAAGGTTAAACATTACCTTATGACCCAAATTTTTACTTCTAAATATAAGAGGAATTAGATCCTATGTCCATATAAAAACTTGTGCACAAGTGTCCATAGCAGTATCATTGATAATAGCTGAAAAGGGGAAACAGCCACCAACTGGTGAATGGCTAAACAAAATGTGCTGCATCCATACAATGGAATATTATTTGGCCATCAAAAGGAACTAATTACTGATAACGTGCTTTAACGTGGATAAACCTTAAAAGCATTATACTAAGTGAATGAAGCCAGTAACAAAAGACCATATACTGTATGATTCCATTTGTGTGAAATGTCCAGAATAAGCAAGTCCATCAAGACAGAAAGTAGGTTAGTGGTTGTCAGGGGCTAGCAGGAGAGGAGAATGGTGGGGGTGGGGGTGACTGCTAATGTGTATGGTTTTCTTTTGGGGGTGATGAGCATATTCTAACATTAGATAGTGGTGTTGGTTGCACAACTTTGAATATACTAAAATACCACTGAATTAATATACTTTAAAAGGATTAATTTTTTGATATATAAATATCTCAATGAATTTGTTATAAAACAAACAAAACACAACAAAAAGAAAGAACTTAGGCCAGACTCTCTGCATACGTAGAAACAGAGGTTAGTAACTGATAATAATTATTTGAGTATTTCAGGTACTTAGCACAGTGCCTGAACATAGTAAACACTAAAGTCTTTGTTAAAAGAAGAAATATTATGATACCAAAAGGAGGAATCTTGGATATAAATTATTGCAGGGATGTAAGGCTGAAAAAAAAAAGGTGGTAAATAAAAACTCGATTAGAAATTATAAGAAAACTGAAAAGATAGCCAATTCCAGAATAAATATGTAAAGATGAATATATTTTCTATATATTTGCAATTACCTAGTCATGAAATATAATGAAAAATATATTATTAACAAGAGTAATATAAAATATTAAAAAACTAAGAGTAAACTTGGCAAGAAATGTACAAAAGCCTATATGGGGGAAAATGACAAAATATTGCCAAGGGACATCAAGGAAAACTTGAAGATACACCATCTTCATGGATGGGAGGACTTAATATTGTAAAGATATTACTTTTCCTCCAAACAGATCCATATATTGTATGTAGCCCCATTTATTTATTTGTTTGTTTGTTTATTTTGGCTGCGTTGGGTATTTGTTGCTGTGCACAGGCTTTCTCTAGTTGTGGGCGGGTGGGGGCTACTCTTTGTTGCTGTGCATGGGCTTCTCATTGCTGTGGCTTCTCTTGTTGTGGAGTATGGGCTCTAGGCACATGGGCTTCAATAGTTGCAGCATGAGGGCTCAGTAGTTGTGGCACATGGGCTCTAGGGCGTGCAGGCTTCAGTAGTTGTGGCGTGCCAGCTCAGTAGTTGTGGCTCGCGGGCTCTAGAGCACAGGCTCAGTAGTTGTGGTGTACGGGCTTAGTTGCTCTGTGGCATGTAGGATCTTCCCAGACCAAGGATTGAACCCATGTCCCCTGCATTGGCAGGTGGATTCTAAACCACTGCCCCACCAGGGAAGTCCTATAGCCCCATTTTCGGGGGAAGAACTAACTAAATGATTATAATGTACATCTAGAGGAAAAAATGTCCAAAACAAATCCAAGAATAGTTAAGAATCTTTCTAAGAGAGGAATTATGGTATTTACTGTACCAAAGAGTAAAGTACATCTATAAAGTTATAATACTGGCACAGGAATAGCAGACAGATCATACAGTAAAATAATGGGGAAAAATGCCAGCGTTTATTGAGCAGTTACTCTGTGCTTTGTGGGTATTTAAATACCATACAACTCTATGAGGGTAGCTATATTATTATCTCCCTTTCACAGATAAGAAGACTGAGATTCAGAGAGATTTAGTAAATTGCTCAGGGTTATATAAGTAATGGCAGAGCAGGAATTCAAACTGATGCTGATTGCAAATTCATTGTTATTAATTAGTAAAATTTAATTCTTGGAGATTAACCTTAAGTAAATGAGGTTATGTAAAAATACTTAGATGTAAGAACGTTATGTACAGCATTGTTATAAGAGCCAGAAGTTAAGACTAACCTTAAACATCAAGCAGCAGAGTATTGGTTAAATAAAGTATAGTACACGTCTACAATTAAAGACTATGTATGGTCATTTAAAGTTATATGGAAGAATACTTAATGACACAGTAATAAGGATAGCTATATTAAACCGAAAAGTGGATTACAAAACAGTATATATACTCATTAAAAATATATATATGGGGGCTCCCCTGGTGGCGCAGTGGTTGAGAGTCCGCCTGCTGATGCAGGGGACACGGGTTCATGCCCCGGTCCGGGAAGATCCCACATGCCACAGAGCAGCTAGGCCCGTGAGCCATGGCCGCTGAGCCTGCGCGTCTGGAGCCTGTGCCCCGCAACAGGAGAGGCCACAGCAGTGAGAGGCCCAAGTACCGCAAGAAAAAAAAAAAAAAATATATATATATATATATATGTAGAGAAAAAAGAGGAGATTTATATCAAAATGTTATTTTCTCTGAGTGGTGAAATTATGAATGATTTGTTTTCTTTTTGCTTCTCAATATTTTCTATTTTTTCTGCAGTACAATATGTTTTTTTCTCTAAAGAAAAATAATTGCAATAAAATTATTGTGTGTGTGTTTTTTTTTAAGGTGTGTGAGTTATTCACCCTGCCAGCCGGGTTAGCGGGTCCTCTGTGCTCCTGTAGGCCCCTGTGTTCCCCTTTTTCGTAGTGATCATAGTGTATTATCATTTACCCTTCTAACTCCGTAGCGTCTGGAATAAAGTCTGGTGCCAATCATTGTTTCGGTCAATCAATATTTCAGTAAGGAAGGATGAAACAGAGTGGGAATGAAGGGGAGAGGGAGGGAGAAAGGAAACCAACCTACGGAGATGTGGATCTGAGGTTATTTTTCCAGCTTCATTCCTCAAGATCCAAAAGTAGGTGGTGGATGGTATATTACTTGTATAATTCTTTATACTAATCCAGGAAATGAGTTGAACCACTTATCTTTAAATTCTGATTGTGCAAGAACAAAAATACATGTGAAGGAATTTACCTACAAAGAAAAGAGGCGTTAGGCTTCCTACATTGAGAGAGGCCGGAGTGAATCTTTCAGAAATTATTGAGACAAATGAAGGCTATTTCAGTAGAAAATGCTGCTGTGCCACCCACTCTCCCATTCTCCCTGTCCTTCCACCAGTTGTATCCAGAAAGCCATTTTCAACAGAAGATTTGGCAGGTGACGCAGTTGTTGCCTGGTTGCATTTCAGACTTTTCTGGGTAAAAGATCCTAAGGGAGCTTGGGGACTGTCTGCTGACCCAGCTGCTCACATCCTGTATCTATTTAAAAATTTGGGGAAAAGCCAGAGGAATGAACTTCATATAACTCTGTGTTATTTTTATTTCCAGGAAGGGGAGCAGTTTGTGAAGAAAATCGGTGGTATTTTTGCCTTCAAGGTGAAGGACGGCCCTGGAGGTAAAGAAGCCACCTGGGTGGTGGACGTGAAGAATGGCAAAGGATCAGTGTTCCCTAACTCAGGTCAGTGCAGTGATGACTTCATTTGTAGGAGTACTGACAAGTTCACAAAGAAAAATGGGGGCCTGCTTTGGTGTTTTCCAAAAGGGCTGGCTTTAGAGTTCCAGGACCTTGTTAAAGAACTGGGGAATCCTTGGGAACAGGAATAGGTCACAGCTGCTTCCTCCCAAAGACGGGAAGGCTCCATCACTGTCACCAGCCATAGGCTTTGGAATTAAACAGACTTGGGTTTGGAGTCCTGGTCCTGCCACTCACAGATTCTGGCCTTGAACAAATTATTTCACTTCTCTGAGCTTTGTTTTTTTCATTTGTAAATGGGAATAATAAATGGTACCTATTTCATAGGGTCACGTGAGGATTAAGAGCATTATCTCTTGATTAGCCTGTGAAGCATATGCTTCAGTGTATGGTTATGTGTCCTCAGAAGACCTGTGTGTACTCACTGCCTCCACTTCTCTCACCCAGTCTTTCTCTCACCCATTCCAGTCAGCTTTGGTCCTCATTATTATCCCAGAACTGTTCTTGTCAAGGTCAGGTAACCGCCATGTTGGTAAATTGAGTGGTTAATTCCCAGCCCTCATAATTATATTATTCTTCCAGGCTTTCTGCTTACCTACTGGCTGTTCCTTCTTGGCCTCTGTCCCTTTTTTTTTCTGCATCTCTAAAAGTCTAAATGTTGGAGTGCTCTAAGGCTCAGTTCTATCTCCATTTAGTCCCTGGGACTCTCATCTAGTTTCATGCTTTTAAAACCATCTCTACACTGATGACTCCCAGGTATCTTCAGTGTGAACTCAGCTACTGAACTCCAAGGTGTGTATCCAGCTGCATAATTGACAAGTTTACTTGGATCCTTAGTAGGCATCTCAAGGCTAACATGTATGAAATTGAACTGCTGATCTTCCTCCCACTCCCCTTTAATTATGTTCTCCTCGAACTGTCTTCTGCATCTTGCTAAATTGCTCCTCTGTCTTACCAGTTCCTCAGTCTAAAACCCTTGAAGTCATGCTTAGCTCTTCTTTTTTTTTTTTAATTGAAGTATAGTTGATTTACAATGGTGTGCCAATCTCTGCTGTACAGCAGAGTGACTCAGTTATACACATATACACGTGCTTTTTTTAATATTCTTTTCCATTATGGTTTATCCCAGGAGTTTGGATATAGTCCCCTGTACTATACAGTAGGAGCTGTTGTTTATCCATTCTAAATGTAATAGTTTGCATCTACCTTGGCTCTTCTTTTTCTCACACTCTACAGTGTAATCCGCCAGCAAATTCCATCCTATACTACTACCACCTTGGTCCTCCATCATTTTTTGCCTGGTCTCCCTGTTTCTAACCTTCTGCCCTGTTTCTGTACACACCAGCTGGAGTGATCATTTTAAAACTCAAGTCAGCTCACAGGGTAAAAACCAGGGTTCTTATAATCACACCACATGATCTGGCCCTAGTCTTCTCTGTCTTATTATACTCTCCCTCACTTTGCTCCAGTTACACTGGCCTCCTTGCTATTGCTTGAACGTGGGCGTTCGCAGTTCAGGGGCTTTCTACTGCCTGGAGTCGTCATCCCTCACATATCCTCATGGCTTGTTCTCCCATTTCCTTTGGTTTTTGCCCAAATGTCACCTTCTCAGTGAGCCTTTCCCCAACCACACTTCTAAATCACACCCCCATTACCATTCCCTATTGTCCTTTTCTGCCTTATTTTTCTTTATAGCACTTACCGCCATCTGATACCATATCTTATTTCTTTACTTATCGTCCATCCCCCCCACTTGAGTTGTAAGCTGCATGAAGGCAGAGCTTTGTGCCTCTTAGGTTCACTGCTGCATTCACAGTGCCTAGAATAGTACCTGTCACATGGTAGGCCTTCAGTAAAATAAATAAATAAAAAGTGAACAGCAGAATGAATGAATGATGCTCAGTAAGTGGTAGCTATATTGTATGTTATGTTTCTCTCGGAGAGAGCCTGGCGCGATTAAGAGATGGGATGGATAGGAACTAGCGTTTTAGAGGGCTATACTATGAACTTTGAAAACGATTTTATACATAATCAATCCCTTAAATCTTTTTGAGTAGAAAAGTGAAAGTCAGAGCTTTCTAAATACTCTGCTGTTTTAGAGGATGAAGCTGGTGTATTCGACCTGATGAATTAGAAATGAAGAAATCAGAAGCAGAGAGAGCATTTAGGAGGATGGATGGTACCACCATCTAAGTAAGCAAAAAGGATAGCCGAGTGTTGGCAGTGAGAAAAAAGGATGTTGTTACATGGTAGTTGCTAGGGGTGTTTGGGGTGAAGTTGATGGTACTTGGAAGCTGTGAAGGAGAAGGAGATATATCAAAGATGGTAGAGTTCGTTATTGCTACATTACTGGGGAAGGTCCTGGAGGAGACAGTGTCATCAGGAGCACAGGTGGAAGGAGGGTTAGCCTTAACAAGGAGGGATGGATACTTCTTCCTCTAAGAGGGGGTAGATAAATATTCAGGGGCGTTTTGAGGTACAGAGGGGTTTGGCAGAGATCCTGGAATAGAGTTTAGAGCTTGGAGAAAGGAGAAGATGTTAAGAGCAGCGTTATATGTACTGTTGAATAAGGAATCAACTAGAGATTAATGAAGGAAAAGCTGAGTGGTAGTAAGGGCATCTGGTGTGGGCAGCATTTTTTTTTCTCAAAATGAGTGGGCAGAAAAATAACTATGTTTACATTCTGTGAGCTGCCATCTAACATGATGTACGAAGAAAAACTAAATGCTTCATCTAGAGTCTAGCTTTTAGAAATAAAAAGAACTTTGGGGAAATAATGCCAATTTTTTTAAAAGACTGAATGTTAATGGTTACTTCAGGATTATATATTGACATGTCTAGACAGATGTCAGGTTGATTTTTTTTTAAGTTTTTATTTTTCTTTAATTTTTATTTTTATTGGAGTATAATTGCTTTACAGTGTTGTGTTAGTTTCTGCTGTACAATGAAGTGAATCACCTATATGTATAAATATATCCTCTCCCTCTTGGACCTCCCACCCACCTAGGTCATCACAGAGCATCAGGCTGAGCTCCCTGTACTATACAGCAGGTTCCCACTAGCTATCCCTTTTATACATGGTAGTGTATTTATGTCAAACCTAATCTGCCAATTCATCCCACCCTCCCTTTACCCCCTGGTGTCCACATGTCTGTTCTGTATGTCTGCGTCTCTATTCCTGCCCTGCAAATACGTTCATCTGTACCATTTTTCTAGATTCCACATATATGTGTTAATATACGATATTTGTTTTTCTCTTTCTGACTTCACCCTGTATGACTGACTCTGGGTCCATCCACATCTCTACAAATGACCCAATTTTGTTCCTTTTTATGGTTGAGTTATATTCCATTATATATACGTACCACATCTTCTTTATCCATTTATCTGTTGATGGACATTTAGGTTGCTTCCATGTCCTGGCTATTGTAAATAGTGCTGCGTGAACATTGGGGTACATGTGACTTTTGTTTTTAATGTAACTTTTTTTTTTAACTTATTTTATTTTTTTGGCAGCGTTGGGTCGTCATTGCTGCACGCGGGCTTTTTCTCTAGTTGTGGTGAGCGGTGGCTACTCTTCGTTGTGGTGCACGGGCTTCTCTTTGTGGTGGCTTCTCGTTGCAGAGCACGGGCTCTAAGCACGTGGGCTTCAGTATTTGTGGCATACGGGCTCAGTAGTTGTGGCTCACGGGCTCTAGAGCTCAGGCTCAGTAATTGTGGTGCACGGGCTTAGTTGCTCCGCAGCATGTGGGATCTTCCCAGACTAGGGCTCGAACCTGTTACCCCTGCATTGGCAGGTGGATTCTTAACCACTGCACCACCGGGGAAGCCCACATGTGACTTTTTGAATTATGGTTTTCTAAGGGTATATGCGCAGTGGTGGGATTGCTGGGTCATATGGGTTCGATTTTTAGTTTTTTAAGGAACCTCCATACTGTTCTCCACAGTGGCTGTATCAATTTACATTCCCACCAACAGTGCAAGAGGGTTTCCTTTTCTCCACACCCTCTCCAGCATTTATTGTTTATAGATTTTTTGATGATAGCCATTCTGACTGGTGTGAGCTGATATCTCATTGCAGATTTGATTTGAATTTCTCTAATAATTAGTGATGTTGAGTATCTTTTCACGTGCCTCTTGGTCATCTGTATGTCTTCTTTGGAAAAATGTATGTTTAGGTCTTCCGCCCATTTTTTGATTGGCTTGTTTGTTTTCTTGATATTGAGCTTCATGAGTTGTTTGTATATTTTGGAGGTTAATCCTTTGTCCATTGCATCATTTGCAAATATGTTCTCCCAATCTGAGGGCTGTCTTTTCGTCTTATGTTTTCCTTTGCTGCACAAAAGCTTTTAAGTTTAATTTAGGTTCCATTTGCTTATTTTTGTTTTTATTTTCGTTATTCTAGGAGGTGGGTCAAAAAAGATCTTGCTGTGATTTATGTCAAAGAGTGTTTTTCCTATGTTTTCGTCTAAGAGTTTTGTAGAGTCCCGTCTTACATTTAGGTCTTTAATCCATTTTGAGTGTATTTTTGGGTATGGTGTTAGGGAGTGTTCTAATTTCATTCTTTTATATGTAGCTGTCCAGTTTTCCCAGCACCACTTATTGAAGAGGCTGTCTTTTCTCCATTGTATATTCTTGCCTCCTTTGTCATATATTAGTTGACCATAGGTGTGTGGGTTTATCTCTGGGCTTTCTATCCAGTACCGTTGATCTATATTTCTGTTTTTTGTGCCAATACCATACTGTCTTGATTACTGTAGCTTTGTAGTATAGTCTGAAGTTGGGGAGCCTGATTCCTACAGCTCTGTTTTTCTTTCTCAAGATTGCTTTGGCTATTTGGGGTCTTTTGTGTTTCCATACAAATTGTAAATTTTTTTGTTCTAGTTCTGTGAAAAATGCCATTGGTAATTTGATAGGGATTGCATTGCATCTGTAGATTGCTTTGGGGAGTATAGCCATTTTCACAATATTGATTCTTCTAATCC